GAACCGACATGGAATGACTGGGCTTTACAGGAAGGATTTTCACAGATCGATCAATACAATCACATCTTGAGTGCTGTGTTCAGGTGTGGACCCTTCCCCTAGTAAGAGATAAACAACTGCTCGAGGCGGTGCAAAGTAGGTTAACCGGACCGCAGGGTAAGTCATACAAAGAAAGGCTGGCGCCCTTGACATATTGTCCTTTCACCTCCGGGCTAACGGAAGTGCCAGAGCACAATTTTTTCCCACCGCGTAGTACACGTATGGAACCAGTTAACAACTACAGTAGTGGCAGCAACTAATGTTCTCCTGGGACGACGTATTTGCAGAGTATGACTAACACAAGTGTCAGTCACTAAATACATCCTTCTTATGTAACCGTTTGTCTATTTTACCATCACTCCTTTACATGAGACACCTCACGGGCAATTACTACAACAGCAATTTTAGCCCCTTGGAAGCTATCATGGCAGGAGTAGCAGTCCACTCATGTGCGGCGCCTGTCAAATGATGGAGACTGCTGAGTCTCCGAGGGTGATCCTGCCTTTCATCTCGTCCCTTGTAGGTACAACATCCAACACAACTGTGGAAATACCTGGCAGTCGTGGGAACCACCAGCTCACAAGTGCAAGAACCTGGACGTTCCCTGGCCGAAGCCTGTGATCTAACCTGACCTGACATGCACATGAATTATAATCAAATCAAAATGGTTTCACCCATGTCTTCACTACAGTGCCACAACTTGTCATTTTCGCCCGCATGCCTAGCCTTGTTCGCTGAAATTTTTGATGAAATTGTGAGAAGATAAAACACAGATTTTAAAAATATCGAGAAAAATTCCGTAAATTGAGCTTTAATTACTGATTATCCGGGCCGAAACAATTTTATGGAATTCGACAGTAGTGCGTGATATGATTTGTTTTAATGGTTCGGTTACAATTTCGGGTGTCACGCTTGTTCGGTGGTCATGTCCGAAGTGGAGGAAGCCAAGGTCGGTGTGGAGAAAGCGCTGAAGCGACGGAAGATCTCTGGAAAGCGATTCTTGGAGCACAAGAAGTTCTTGCAGCGAATCAACCGACGGCTAAAAGCCAAAGGTGAACCCCGAGCAAAAGGTCGCAAGCCTGTGGGGAAATCCAAGACCGTTGAAACCCAGCCTAAGCGCCGATTTGTAAGTTGTCACTAACTGCCGGCCTCATTAATTTCAGCCTCGCAGTTATGTTGTTCAACAGGGGAAAAGCAAGCTGCGTCTTCGTAAAACCAAGTGTTACTCAGACCATATACGACGCATTCGACCTACACTGGTCCCTGGTACGGTTTTAATTTTGTTGGCTGGTCCCCACAAGGGAAAGCGGGTTGTTCTTTTGAAGAGCTTGCACAGCGGACTACTCCTTGTCACTGGTAAGTCTACTATGAATGGGTTCTAGTTCTTCAGGCCCATTCAAATACAATGGTGTCCCGATGAGGCGTGTCAATCAGCGTTATGTGATCGCAACTGCTACGCGTGTTGACTTGTCGAAGGTTGAGATTCCTAAGCGTGTCAATGACGAATATTTTCGCCGTATGGATCTCAAAGAACACAAAGAACCGACGGAAAAGTTCTTGGTGGAGGAGACTAAGGTGAGTACTGAAGTATGTAGTTAAATTTTTGACAAACATGATGCTTATTTGCTACTACTGACGTAAGTGACGTCCATACTAACTGAAGAAAGTAAAAAGTTAGGGAATAATTTTTGTGGATTGCAATAAAACGAGTCTTGTTTGTTTCCAGAAATACTCCGTCAGTGACGAACGGAAAGAAGACCAGAAGATTGTAGACAAACAGGTGACGGCAGCCATCAAAAATCACCCTGAGTCCAAACTTCTGCATGCTTATCTCCGGTCTCTGTTCTCTCTCGGAAAGCGAGATTACCCGCACCGTATGATCTTCTGAGCTTTGAAATACACGCAGAGTTGGTACTTGTGGTCACGTTCTGTTTTATATCCAATTGAAATTAATTCATCCTAATCATGGTCAAATCTCACCGAATCACGTGGTTAAGATGGTGTACAGCACTTTAAATTCACAGCTGCTTTATTCCTAGAGGTACCCGTAATGCAAGTTTAGCGTTCAAAGTTCCCCTATTGCAGTTCAGGTCACTTCAGTCCAGTTTGTTTCCGATGTACAACCGGTTGTGCAATTTTCCTTGAAGAACACGAACAGGGCGGTTGTTCGATGCTTGTTGATTTGGGCAATCGCGTCGGCACCTCCCAGCGTTGTTCCATGTGCGAATTGGTGTTGTCGACTTGGAGCTGAACTGTGGTTGTGTATCATCAATAATAACTCGCGCATTCGAGGTGCTCGTTTGTGAAATCGGAACTGGCTATGTTCCTCAGCAGTTGTTCGATACATCAGTGAAGTCAGTTGGTTTTTACCGAAGCGAAAGTCATAAAAGTGATAATGACGTGGGCCTTGTATTTCCCTGGGTAGATTAGAAAAGTGACGGCGGAGAGACGTGAGAAATATCACAACGGGGCGTGGAGAGTGAAGAGTAATTGATTTTTCATAGTGGTGTTTTTATGCGATAGAGCACGGTTTATCACGAGGTGTCGGATACCGGACTTGCGCTATTTCTATTACGTTAAAAACCTGATGTATTTGATAATTGTTCAACCAATGTAGGTGCCTGCGTTAAGTAGGACATGAGTTTCCTAACTTTTACTTTCTGGTTGATCGGAGCCAGCCTTGTAGATGCATGACATGAAGTTCCCAGTTCCTCCGTGTTACACGAACGGAAAGGGATGCAGGAATCCGGGTGCATGTCGATAGTGACGAGTTGAGGTCGCTCTTCTCGGTCCGAATAGCCTCGTAATCCGGTCTTACTACTTCAGGGCATTATTTGTCCTGAAGCTCGCCGCTATTGGCTCCGACAAACGATAGTTGAGAATGGAGATCCTCTTTTAAGCTCCCTGGGGTTTTCCAATCAAGCAACGAAAGACTTACCGGCACCGTTGTGACATCACTGTCTGCGAAGGGCCAGTGTATGCTATAACAGTTCTCCGAGTTCTGATGCACAGTGCCGAGACTTGGCCAGTGCGAAAACAGCGGCGTTTAAACACCGACGGTCAGACTAAGACCTGGCACGAAGGTATGAAGACCCTAGCCAAGAAACTCGGTCACAGCATGTTGTTGGATGGAAACATGAAGACCAGAATAACCAATAGTTGGGGATTGATATGCCTGAGTGTCGTAGATGGGTGCTTGCGAGACTAATTGTCCCTGCAACATTACCCTTCTGTGTTTCAACTCACTGGTTTGATCATTTCAGTCTTCCCTCGTATCCCGCTAAATGATGGTTCCTGCGCCTCGTCCTAATCACCTTGGACAGTGTTTCTTCATCCGTTGGCATGGGTACTTCACCGTGCGGTCAATGTACGTTGCATTGGAAACGCACCAGAAAGAATCAAACAACCATAGAAGTGGTCAGCGAGGTTTCCCAATTTTTTAGTGGCGAACCCGTGGACACGAAAATTGAACTAAGTTCTAGGTCTACTTCGCCGTAATCTTCCGATGTGCCTCGAAAGCCACAGTATGGTCGGGGTGGGTCTCAGATTGTAACTGGTCACCATTTCCTTACACCTCGCGAAATGCTCCTATATGACTAAGCGTCTCGAATAGCCTCTGCTGAAGAAGCCCTGCTCACTGCCGTATCGCGGCAGAGGTGTTTTCTCAGTAAGTGAGAGGACGAAAAGCCAACATCCGGTCTATAACCGGGTTGGTGGACCACTGGTAGTTCACCTGGAGGAGTTGGCCAGAAACCCGGATTCCAAACCAACCACACCTTTTGGGATGTGGCAGTGGTTACCGGTTCGATTGGGCATCGAGGTGTATTGGGCACATTGGACGTTTGATGTCGGCCAAAGGGCGAATGATCCGAAGAATTAAGCACCGGCTCCCATTGGACTGCGGTTTTCACACACCATCCCACTGCCTTGCCGGTCAGGCTTTGGCTAGTCGAAGGCTCCGCTTGTGGATTCCCCAAGAAAAGTTACCTGGCAGTATTCAGCCCAAAAGCTAATCGTGGAACGTTTTTGTTGGATACTAGAAAACCAACATGCGAACCCTACCGACATCGATTGGTTAGTAACTGTTTAATCAATGGTATTCCTCTGTATATACTATTTAATCACCTTGCATTTCTTTCGATGAACTAATCGACACTAATTCTGTTCTTATTTCTGCATCTCCGCGTCTGAAGATTCCGGCGGGCAATTGCCAATGCGACTTCCATTTCTGCTCTGCTCATATTTCGACCACTACATCTACATTTGACCATAGACCGTTGATTGAAGAAGACCAACGGAGGAGGGTGTAAAACAGGAAGATGCCAAAACAAGCTGTTTACCATCTGATTTTGTTGCGGGGATCAATTTTCTAGCGTTTGTTCTTCTGGTGTCTTAATCAAAGTTAAATGCGGAATCTTGTTCGACACCGCTTTGGCGTGGGGCTACCTGTGAACGAAACATTATTTTGCTCTCTTTGGGGCCATCACACAAGACCGAAATCCGGTTGGAGGGTGTTTGCGTGTAAGAGAGAGTGCAATGAAGCACGACGGGTTACATTCATTATGCGCATAGCACTACAGCAAGCGTGATTAAGGCATCGAACATCTTGGTTTCTCGGATTTTGGTACCATGGGTGTGGAAAGGTTTTTGCCTTTTTACTTCCTTTTTTATTTAATATACATATGTACATTCAGGAAGGGGGCCGCGGTCATACGAAGGCTACCTGGGTAAATACAGAGTTAAGGACGATGGGCGGCGATGGAGCGGTTCGAAGTCGAGACTCCCAGATCACAAGTGGGTAACCCAGCCACTTGGCTCACACCACCAGGTGCACACATCGAAATTCATTGCTGGTAAAAATGTAGATGGTGAGAAACACGTTATAATTGAAATGACTATTGTTCCATGCGAAAAATGCCAGAAAGCTGCAGACCCATCCCAGCCTTCAGCTGTAGCGCCAAAATATGCATCCAGGGATCTTATGTTGGACTGATTGTGTGAGTTGAGTGATAAGTGAATGACTCGACTTAACGAGGATATGGAAAATGTTGTAACGACATATCTGTGACTATGATAACTGGATTGGAATGTGAGGTTGGTCGCCATCACGACATGCTTTGAAAGATCAAACTTTTGGCTTAGTTTGTTGTCTGGGGAAGTGTCAGTGGAGACATAAAGTTGCCGTTTCAACCGAATGTGCACACCGTACTTCGTAATGAGTTTTCAGTTTCAGTTTGTACAACCATCAGCCACGCATATTCGTGCGCCGGTTTCGGTTGCTATCTTTGGGCTGCCCATTTGGATGAACATTAGAAGAAAGACAGGAGAGGTTGAAAGTAGGATCGAAGAGAAAATTGAGAAGTTCAGTGGACTAATGATACAGAGAAATTGAGAAGATGCACGAACACCACTGTTTGCGACGCCCAGCCACTTCATCCAGTGTCTCTAACCATCGGGTACGACCATCCCGAGGTCCCCATCCAGGGAGCCTAAGGGGACCTATGTGACCCAGACACCTGGTTAGGGTTTTCATAGCAGGTCTTAGCTTGCCCACCCTGGGCTTTATTGCACCCACTACCTGCTTCGGCAAATATCACTCGCCGTGGCAACATGCCTTGGTTAAATGCGTAACACATGCCCCGACCAACGCAATCTATGGAGGTCGACCACTTACTCTAGTGGACGACCACAACTACCGAGACCTTTGCGCCTGACATCAGCATTACTCGTCCGGCTGCCCCACTAGATTCATTCAATGCTGCGTAGACAGCGATGTTCAAACACCGACAGTCTATCTTTGTCCTGTTTTTCTTATGGCCAAGTTTCTGCTCCATATAGCAGAACTGGCCGAACTGCTGCAGCATACACTCGACCCTTCACAGATAGCCGGATCTCGCGACAGCGCCACAGATGTCTCAAGTTGGCAAATGCCAACCGAACCTTCTGTATACGAGCTGATACTTCATCCATGATGCGTCCGCAGGGTGAGATATAGCTGCCCAAATGATAAAACTTATTCAGCTGCTCTATTACTTCCCCGGTTGGAGTGAGGCTGGTTGCTGGACGGAACCAGTCTTGTAATGGCATTGTACACTTTGAAGGTGCAAAACGCATAGCGGGCATGGATACACTAGCACTCAAACTTTCCAGAAAAGATTGTAAATTACCTGGACTTTCACCTAGTAGTACAATATCGTCTGCATATTCTAGATCAGACAGCCTGCCACCTGGGAGTAAATCGATGCCACTATCCTCGCATGAGGTTAGGGCTGTTTCCATAATCAGATCTATAACAAAGTTAAATAGAGAAAGAGGGCAACCTTGTCTAACACCACTTTTCGTGGTGAACTCGGGTGAAAACGTGCCGTGAGCTCGGACTCGACTTCGGCTATTAGTATAAAGAGATTGTAATATTGAAATAAACCCCTCGGGCACACCCTTTAGGAAAAGGTAGCACCAGAGTTTATAGCGGAGTATGATACCAGTGAGAAGTTTAGAAGCAATGTTGATTAAACTAATTCCTCTGTAATTTTCACAAAAGGACCTGTCGCCCTTCTCGCAAATCGGTATGATGACCGATTCACACCGTTCAGTTGGAACCTCTTCCCTTTCCCACACAGCCCAGGAGTTTCGATAACTCCGAAACCAAGACCAAACCTCCATCCTAGAACACGGATGGAGACAGTCCTTCTGGGCCAGAGGCCTTATGCCTTTTGAGATAGCTTATTTCCCGGGAAACCTCCATTTCAGGTGGAGGAATGGCATCGACTGGCAGAATTTACGCAGTCGCGGCGGAGAATGATAGTTCAGACGTCGATGGGGGTCAATTGAACTGAGCCTCGAAATGTTCAGTCCGTCGATCAAGACGGCTTTGCTGATCGTGAATCA